GCTGCATGGTTATGACCTGCTGCATGGTTATGATCTGCTGCATGGTTCTGCCCCCCGCAGCCCCTCCCGAGCTTCCACCCACTGGTTCTGACTCTGCCTCCGGAGCCCGCACGGAGGGAGTGGGGACTCTTGCTCCGAGGACATCGTTACTCCTTGCCGTCCACTCTGAGAGTAGCACAGAGATGCACTGCAAGCACCAGCATAGAGACCAGCACTCGGAGCTTCCGCAGCAAGACCTATGTCGGGGTCCCGGGGTGGGGGCGGAGGAGGTCCGCCCGATGCGATGGCAGACGCTCACTCTCCGCGCTGGGAGACGAGGCAGGAAGAGCCCTTGCGGGCGGCCCGGTGGGCACGGGGACGAGGCTGGCCTACCTCATCGCAGATGTGTAGCGAGAAGATGATGGAAAGGATGCCTGTGGATGGGTACCGCCCGTGGCCCTGCAGCCAGCTGTCGAAGACGTACTTGATGAAGGCCGGGTGGTAGATGAGGATCTGCGGGAGGAGGACCCAGCCCTTCGTGAGCCGCTACCAAGGGCCCCAAGCACCGGCGGGGTGCCCCCCCTGTTGTGGCCTCGGGGGACGGAGCAGTGCACAGGACCAGCGCCCCTGCCCTTGTGGGCCTGACGTTTAGTGGGAAGGACGGGCAGCAGCCTGACCACGGGGCCAGAGGATGCTGAACCACAACCATTATGGGAACGTGGAGAGAAATTAAGCAGACAGACAGTAAAGCACTGGAGGGGAGAAGCCTCGCTGAGAAGGAGACATCCGAGTCGCCTTCCAATCAGGCCAGGCAAGTTCCAGAGAACAGCATGAGTTGGGGCCAGGGACATCCCTGTCACACTGCAGGAAACACAGGCACGGGGACACCCATTCTGGCAGTGATGGGCTATGTGCTAGCCTTCCCTCTCCTCATGTTACAGATGAGGAAACTGAGCTCAGAGAGGCTAAGCAAGGTGCCCAGCGTCACGCAGCCAGCTGGTCAAGCCGGGAGGCGTCTGGTAGCAGAACTGCCCTTGACTCCCCCACCCCCCGCCTCGAGGACAGCAAAGGGGACTTCTCAGGCAGTAGAGGGTGTGCATATAGGTCCAGGAGGCCTAATGCCAGCCCCCAGCAATAGACTGGAGCAGAGGACCATGAGGTTTCTGCTGAACCGTTCATCTCTCAGCCTGGCCTCAAGCCACTGGCGTCCGGGAGGCTCTCCCCTCTACCCACTCAGCCCTCCAGGGATTCCCACGTGGCTTCTCCCCCAGGCGCTGCACCCCAGTGCGAAGGGCAGGTGCTGGAGCGCTCCAGTTCCAGCCACACCGTGAACAATCTGTGTGTTCCTGAGCCAGTCCCTTGACCCCTCTGACCCTGATCTCACAGTGTGTGCAAAGGACCAGTCTCGTGGACACTTCACTTCTTCCATCCTTCTGCCCTTTGCCCAAGTCTTGGCCAACTCCATTCCGGGGGCCCACTGGGGAAGATGGAGACGGGGGGGGGCAGGAGGCGAGGTCTGGCTTTGAGAGGCTCACGCGGTACAGCACCGGTTCTCACGCTGCAGCCCACATCAGCATCCCCGGAGGGTCAGTAGAAGCCCAGGCCGCTGGGCCGTTCCCCTCCCCCCAGAGTTTCTGACGCAGTAGGTCTGGGGTGGGCCTGAGTGTCTGCATCTGGGACTGTACCCCAGGGACGCTGGTGGGCCGGGGTCCCACATGGAGAAACTTTGCCGGGGTCAGTCTGTCCCTGCGTAGGGGCTCTGGCCTCTGGCAGCCCGGGGGCCCTGAGGGCTCTCTGCAGCCAGGTGCTGGCAGAGGGGAGACGGGGCTTTCTGTCATCAAACTGAGCCTCAGCTCAGAGGACACGGGCCTAAGCCTCGACTTACCTTATTCTTTTTCACTTTGATCTTTGCGGGGACAGGGACGTAGGTGCTGCGGGAGAAACAGCAGACAATTAACGTGGCGAGGGGGCCGGGCTGCCCGCACGCAGCTCTGGGGACGGGCCCTGGGGAGGGAGAGGGTGGTAGGGACGCCACCTCCCTGCCACAGGCCCGCGCTCCTGTAGCAGTGGCCCATTATGGACACCAGAGGGCGCTCCTGGCTAATTCGAGAATGTTTTTTAAATGCCGCTTTCCCCCCTACAAAGCTTAAGACCAGGGGACTTGCTCTGAGCAAGCCCAAAAGGAGGCTGAAGGAGCACAGCTCACTGCCGAGGCACTGAATGATGAGCCCCACAAAGGCCCCCTTTCCATCTCCAAGGTGATGTGTGCCCCAAGATGAAGGTACAAATGCCTGGCCATCTGGCCTTAGGTTAAATCTAATGGGGGCCCTTCACGCTCCTGATCCTGTGGGAGGGGGTGGGAGGAGAGGGCAGCTGAGCGCCGGCCTGGCCCGCTCCTCCCCTGCCGGACCCCGCTTCCCTCACTGCCCTCCTGAGAGGGTGGCCCCCAGCTTCCTGCACCCCAATCCATCAGCTTGCTAGCCGGGGGCTGTCATCCTCGGGGTGCACGGCAGAGATAAGGAAGGGGGCGAAACTATCACCTGCAGAGTCCTTTCCAGCGGGGCCCCTCCTTCCGAGGAGTTTTCAGTAAGCCTAGGAGGCCTGTCCTGGAGTCATGAGGAGGGGGAAGGAGGGAACTTGCGGGGTGTTAGCAGTTTAGGGAGGCAAGGGACCAGGAGGAGCCACAGGCTGGGTGGGGGCCTGGGGCCCGCCGGCCTGGTGCATTCCAGAAGGAAGTCTGGCGGGGGGGGGGGCATTCTGGTTTGGGGGCACCGCGGGGGGGGGGGCGCGGGGGATCAGGGGGGGGGGGGGGCCAAGGGCCCCCCCCCCCCAACATCCCCCCCCCCCGCCCCGGGGGGCACTCACTGAGAGATGGTGCCCGTGGTGGTGGCACTGACCACCCACTCCAGGTCGGTGGTCTTGAAGGGGACCAGGACCATGCTGACGTTCTCCGCCAGCTCCCTGAAGCTCTCGGGGTACACCAGATGGTGCGTGGTCTTGCTCCCGACGTCCATCTCAAAGCCCGCCGTGGGGGCCTTGTTCATCCTGGGGGAGAAGGGACAGAGGGGCACGCATCGCATCCCATGGGCGCTGCTTCTGGGCCCCAGCTCCCTCAGCTGGGACATAGGGATGATTAAGACGCAGCTAGAAACCTTCTGCTACTTTCTCTTTCTCGATCTCGAGCGAGCCTGGCCATTGCCACTACTGCCGACCTACCGTGTACAAGGCACCATCCTGACCGAGTAACGCAGCGCCTTGCACCTCAACGACAACCGTGCCCGGGAGGTATTCTGTCACCCTGTTTCATGAGGGAAGAAATCTGAGCGCAAGGAATTTGTCCCGGGACACAGAGCTAGCGGGTGGAAGCCTTGGACTCAGGTCTGTCTGATCCAGAACCTGACACCTCTCCCCTCACCACGGACATTCCTGCTGCCAGGTACACCGAGGCTCCGAGAAGCCAGGCGCCTGGTCTGAGGACGTAAATGCAGAGACCACAGGAACAGGAGACTGTTCTAGAAGGTGCCTGGGAAACAGCAGTCCCACTGCCAAGTGAACGGTCGGGGTCGGGGTCGGGGAAGATGACAAGAAACCACGGATACACAGCTTCCCGGAGGATCTATTTTATTTGCTGACAGGGAAATGTATTTACGTTAAAAGCATATAGTTTTATTATGGCCTCAATTGCAAAATGGGGCCGAATTTTAAAGACTAAACCAGTCTTCAAAGAAATCTTGCCCTCTCGCCAGGCCTCTCTGGGCCGAGCTCTGGCCCCGCCGGCTTCCTCCCGTGTAGGGTTTCCCATCGGGGTCCAGAGAGGCACGGCTGATCTGCCTTCTTCCTACGATGCACAGTGGGGGAAACTGAGGCCCACAGGGGTTGTGGGGGAGCCTGGGGTCTGTGGGGAAGTCTGGGCGTGCCAGCCCTGGGGTCTTGACCTCCTGGCCCTGAGCGGGCACTCACCTCAGCACGAAGTCATGTCTGTCGATTTGAGGCCCGTACCAGGACTCCCTCAGGTTGCCGGAGTTGCCCACCACGGCACAGCGCCGGCAGCCCACCGACCTCTTCCCCAGCAGGGGGTCCACCTTCCCGGGCACCACCTGGAACAGCTCCCTGATGGTATCGTTCAGGTTACTGGGTTGCTTCTCCCGCTGGAGCCTCTGGGGGCCGAGGACGGAAGGAGAAAGGTCAGCCCGGCTCTGCTGCCTCTGGCGGGGGCCGCTCATGGAGCTCACTTGTGCTCACGGAGCTCCTCCCTGGTACCTTCCTCTCTGCTGGGCACCTGGAGACTGACTGAGGAGGCTCAGACAGCCATTTCCCCCTCCCAAAGCCCAGGGGCTGCTCAAGGAGATGGGAGAGAGATCACCTCCTCATTCTGCAAATGCTTTTTGAGCACCTGCTATGTGCTTGCTAATGACACCGGATGAGAGGAAAAGGGACAGGTGACCCTCCAAGGCCACCTCCCCAGCCTCGGCTCCCTCCATCCTGCTGCCCACTCCCCGGGGACCACTGGGCTCCAGCAAGACCGAAAAACCAGCCCTTTGCTAGATGCATCAAGGCTTCTGATGTCTGCCTAGCAAATTGTTTTCATTCTCTAAGACTGAGCTCCAGACTTCTGACTTCCTCACTCATGGTAAAACCTGGAGACATTTCCTAAGCAGTATCACCTCTGACCCTGTCACCAGCCGCGGTGCATACTACACCGCATTTGAACTGTAGACAAGAAGGACGCCGTGAGGCCCAGACTGGTTGAACGCCACGTGTCCCACATCCAAACCAAGATTTGCACCCACGCTTTCAGAAACCCACTAAAAAGTCTCTCCCACAATACTGCCCATCTCAGACCCTTGGAACCTGGACCTTCAGAAAGCCCAGTCCCTGGGGCTGCAGGGGCTGGGGGGCGTGGGTTGGTGGTGGGGCGGGGGGAGAAATGGCTGTGGGGTGAGTCCCACCAGCCTCTCCCAGCCCCAGGCCCAGGGCAGTATCTGGGAAAGGAAGGAGAGGTTAGAGCTCGCTGTGGCCATTGTCCAGGAGATTTGTGATGAGGTATATGGGGAGATCCAGAGGCATGCAGCCCCCCGCCCTGAGACAGGAGGAATCAGATCTCCAAAGGAGAGGCCCCCCAGGAGTGTGGCTCCTTTAGTTAAAACCTTCAGCGTCTCCTCCACCATGCCATGGGAGAGCCATGGGCAGCGACATCTGGACCACTCACCAAACCCCCTGGGAGGGTTATAATAAATAAAAAAGAGAGAGAAAGAAAGAACAAGTGTTCTTTCTGTGCCACTTTCTGTGCCACTTTCTCCGCAGAGGATGCGGAGAAAGTGGCACCCTCGTGCATTGCTGGTGGGCACGGAAAATGGTGTGGCCACCGTGGAGAACACACACAGAACGCCCACGAAAGGCAGCGCTTCCATTCCCAGAGGTGCACTCGGAAGGACTGAGGGTCACTCACAGTCTCGCACACTCATGTTCATAGCTGCATTAGTTGCCGGAGCCAGAAGGTGGAAGGGATCCACGTGTCCCCTGGCAGGTGAGTGTATGAAACAAGGGTGAAATGTCATGCAGTCATAAAAAAGAAGGGAATTCAGGGTCCTGGGATTGAGCCCCGCATCAGGCTCGCTGCTCAGCGGGGAGTCTACGCTTCTCCCTCTCCCTCTGGCCCTCCCTCCGCTTGTGATTTCTCTCTTTCTCAAATGAAAAAAATCTTTAAAAAAAAAAAAAGAAGAAGGGCTGGGCTTTGGAAACACACTTACGGCCTAAGCCAGACACAGGAGGACAAATATTGTAGGATTCCACTCTATGAGGTCCCCTAGGGGATCCAAATTCATAGAGACAGAAGGTAGAAAGGCAGCTAGCTGCCAGCGTCCGAGGGAGGGGTGAGGGGAGGTGAGGAAGGGGTGAGCTGAACAGGGGCAGGGTTCGGGGGCACGATGAAAAACTGCCAGCTCTAGAGGGTAGTGTTGGTTACACAACAGTGTGAATATCCTCAGTGCCAATGAACTGTACACTTATGAATGGTTACGATGGCAATTATGTTATGTACACTTCAACACAATAAAACAGAACAATACCCAGATTAAACACCTGCTTGAGATACGATCTCCTGGGGCAGCTCCAAGCTCCTGGATGGACGGTCACCCAGGACCTTGCTAACTCAAAGAGCCTGACTCAGTAGTTCTGGGCTGAACCCGAGATCCTGCGCTTCCAACAGGTTCCCAGGCGATGCTGCTGCTGGTGCGGGTGGAGGGCCCCTGCCACACTCTCCTGCAGGCACCTCCACGGACGTCCCCGGGGTTTGAAGTCTTGAGGCCCCAGGAGACGTGACTTGGGAGCACAGCACAGGCAATGTCTTCACCCGGCTCTGACTGACTGAACTCATCTTTAATGGCTCATTTCAGAAAAGGGGAAAAAAAAAGTTCATTTTCAAAGGAAATCTCACATCCCTGCCACCAGTGGAAAGCGAGGATTACTTGGCAGAAGTAAAAAAAGTAATTGCACCCAACCGTGAAAACAAAACAACGTTATTTGATTCCCGCTCATACTGTTGCTGGCCCAGGCACGCTGCCCACGCTTCGTTAGAAGGAAGACGGGCACGGGATTGGAGGAGTGCATAACCAAACATCGGGCCGGATTAAAGTCCTTGCGCCTGCAAACACAGCCAGAGAATTACCGCCGACTCCAGCCCTTGCACTGGGATGTGCGGTTCTTGAACGCCCAGCCCCGCCATCACCCTAGCCCCGGGCGGCGTGTGGTTCCACGTCGGTGATTTCGGACCCGCTATAGTGCTTCGCCGTCAGGAGTGGAGACCGAGGCCCAGGGAGGAGAAGGGCTAGGCCATCGGGCGTGTGCAGAGCCAGCAAGGGCTTACGTGGGAAAGCTGAGCTGCGTTTCTGCAGGTTAGAATCCTAACTCGTGCACCTGCCCACTGGGTCAGACGGGGCAGGACACTCAGTGCTGATCTGTGTCCCTGTGCCTGTCTTCCCTGAGAAGGGATACTCTGATGTCCCTGACTCTTGTAAGTGACAGCAAAAGGACCACCAGGCTGCTAACTCGCACATGGAGGGCATGTTGAGAAGTTCAAAGACATCCTCCCCCTCTCACTGTTCCGAAGGAGCTTCCAAGTATCCTTCTTGGTCAGCGCTCCACAAGGGTTTGCCCAGTGGGGGTTAGGGCTCCTTGAGGCTGCACTGTGACCTCGGGCAAGTGGAGGCTGGAGTCAGGGGTGCAGGTGCGTGGGGCGGGTGCTGCCCACAGCGAGGGAGGGCGGGGGACAAGGGTTCCACGGCGCAGTCCACTTCAGCAGGCGGGGGCGAGGGAGGTGCACGTCCGGGACACACACTCAGGGCACAGATGGGGAGAGCCTCACTCACTCCTCCTGCACTTCTGCCTGATGGCATGGGGAGCTTGGGGGTGTAAACCGTGGCCCAGACTGTCCAGCCTGGAGGCAGGACGTCTGGCCTTCTGTACCCCCGTCTCAAACCCCTGTGTTGGAAAGAGGTACCCTCTCCTCCAACCCTTCCTCTCTGCTCTGCCCAGTGAACCTTGCTCTTCCTTCCATGTCCGGCTCGCCATGCGGCACCTCCCACAATCCCCCCAAAATACTGGTCTTTGCCTTATGCACGTGCTTGGCACGCAGGTCCCTGGCCACCGGCGTAGTGTAATCGGCAGCTGCCGTGGGCTTGTCTGTCCGGCGCCCTGAGCATCTGAGCAGCAAGCACGGACTGACTGACAACACCCACTCCGTGTGCTGAGCGAGCGAATGACCTCTGCCAGGGTTGACACGCGTTCACACATCCACCGGACCCATCGCTGCGGAGCCCCCATCATGTGCTAGATGCCGTGTGTGGAGGGCAAATGAGAACAGGCACGCGTGCTGGCCTGGGAACGCTCGTCACAGGTGGCCGTGTTGTGTTCTGTGCTTCTACGCCAGGCCCCGCGCGAAGAACTTCATAGGCATTTCCTCTTTAGTCCCTGTAACCGTCCTATGAGCAAGGGTGTATGAGGTACCCATTTTACAGCTGAGCAAACTGAGGTTCAGCGAGGTGGAGCGGATGGCCCAGAGCCCCCAAGATAGCCTGAATACCCCGACCTGACTGCAGAGCTCGTCCTTGAACTAGAATGTAATCCGACTGTGCCCCTCATCAATGAGGTGAGCCTGACAAGCGAGAAACGGAGGTAAGGTGTCCTCACAGGTTGTGGTGAAGGTGGGGGGCAGGAGGGCAGTGCCTGGCAAGCTTGGCCTGGGGCCTGGCCAGAGTGGCACTTGGCATCGGACGGGGGTATTACTGTCTTTTGTGCACGGAGCACGACGCTTAGGGCAGGAAGCTGTCTCCCGTGGGCGGGTCCAACAGTGTGCGGAAATGAGGCCGGGCCAGAGGGGACCCTTGTCCTGGTGACTGGGACAGAGGCAGGAGGAGAGGGCCACAGGGTCTGCAGGCTGACTGAGGGCGGCGGGGGGGGGGTGGCCCCGTGTGATCGCTCCTGTCTTCCTGCTCCCGCTGGAGCTTACACCTGCCCTGTCTCACACCTGCCCTGTCTCCTACGCCTGCTGGGATTACGATGCCCATTGATGGCGACCCTGAAGCTCAGAGGCGAGGTGGGAGCTCGGGACCCCACAGGTCCGGCCCCAGACTCCTCCTGGCTCAGCTGGCCGGCCCGTCGCATCCACCCGTTTCCTGGGGAAGGAGGCATGAAGGGTCTGTGGGCCTGGCTCTGCCAAGGGCTGCTCACCAGGATCAGATGGGTGTCGGCGGGGGCCGTGCCCCAGGGGACAATGGAGTCAGCACCCTAATGCTGCACTCACCAGGTGCTTTGCCATTCCCAAGGCACCTCAGTCCCTTAGCTTCCAGCTTCCCTCCGCTCCTTCTCTGATCCGCCCAGTCCTGGCCTCCCTTCCATGGAGCAGATGAGCAGCCGTGGGCAAGGGGCAGGGAAGGCAGGGGTGTCGGGACAGGTGGCCGAGTCCCAGGCCGTGCTCCGCACTGATGGCCGAGTGGCCTCAGTCTTCACTGGGCTGGGTGCTCCCTCGCACAGACTAAGTGGGAGAACAGGGACCCTAGCGCTCTGCTCTACCCCAGGGCTCCGAGGGGTCTGGGACAGAGCGAGTCTAGGGAGAGTTTGGGCCTGCCTCCTGGTCCCGTGGCACCAGCCACCTGCTGCTGGGTTCGGTGCCAGTTGAGCGCCCTGCAGTGGGGCTCCACAGGCTCTGAATGTCTAAAAGGCAGGGGCTCTGTGGTTGGGGTCCTGGGTCTGGACCTGCCCACAAGCTTGTCCCAGCTGCCTGGGGGGCCTGCATGCAGATCTATGATGCAGCTTGGAATTCCCAGGGTGGTTTTGATTTCACATATTCTGTGCTCCACGTGGAGAACAGGAGATCTCGTCCCATGTGGTATCCTGATTCTTTACTCAAGACATGTGACCTCTGTGTTGTCCGGGAACCCAGAAGCTCTACAACCTGGCTCCTCTCTATTGATTTCTATTCACAAGGGCTCTCTATCCCCACCACCCATTCCTTCCAAGTGGCCACGGGGGGCTGAGCTCCAGGGAAGAAGGGCTACAGAAGGGCTGGGGCTGGGGACATGGGAGAAAACTTGATAAAATACCAACAGTCACTTGGAAAAATGTTCAGCCTTGATAAGCGCTAGGGGGGGAAAAAGAGCAAATTCATTATTGCTTGCCCATTCAGCCAGCGAAAATAAATACAAGTGTTAAAACCTAATGTTTGCAGTGTCGTAGAGAAGCTGGTGAGGTGGCTGTTAGAGCCTCAATCTGAGGACTCAGCCAGATGGAGAGGTTCCTCAAAAGCACTCTTGAGAAGACCTAGAGAGTCAGGAGCAAAACCCAGGGACCGTGATGCCACATCTTAATCCCTAAGTCTAGAAGGCACTGAGCAGGTTCCGCGAAGATACACAGGTTATAAGCAAGAAACCGAGTTTTTTTGTTTCTTGTTTTGTTTTTTCCTGTACTTTTTTATCCATCCTGGGCTAAGCCAGCCTGAGTTTCAGGAACTGCCCTCCCCGAGGACCTTCAGGAAGGAAGTAGATGAAGTCATCCTGGCTACCCACTCTGGAAGTTTCTTATCACTACTTCCAGGGGCTGGATGGGACGTGCTGTTTGGAGCAAGTCACCTTCTTCTCCAAGTTTTTGCTTCCCTCCCCCCGTGGTCATGGGGGCAATTCTACACACCCCGTCCCCTGCCAGGGTCAACCGGCAATGTCTGGAGACATTTTGGTTCTCACCGCTGGGGGTGGGAGATGCTGGCATCTCATGGGTAGAGACCAGGGATGCTACTAAACATCTTACGATGTGCAGGACGGTCCCAGAAACAAAGACGTATCCAGCCTCAACTGCCACGAGTGCGAGGTTGAAACCCTGCCCTAATCCTTGTCAAGCCTGGTCCGCTGCCTCCTTTAGCAGACACTGGAATCTTCAAGGGGGTGAAGACCCTGCCTGTTCTGTTCTCTGTCACCTCCCCAGGACCACCCCAGGACCTGCACCCTGAGGTGCTCAACACAGCTTAGTAGACTGAGCCTGGACATTCCGATTCACTTCTTCTGAGTCACTGTAGACTCTTCTAAGCTGTTCAAAGAGACTGTAAGCTCCCAGATTGCAAGAGTTGCCTGAAGAGTTGCTGACTGGGAAAGCCGGCCTCTTGCAGGAAGGCCCCCCTGATTTTCTCAGCCTACACGCAACTCTCTCTAACTTCTTACCATGACATCGGAAAAACCTCATGAGCTACATCAATGGCCTCATTGCTCACGCCCCACCCCCTCACTCACATTTGGATTTTAGCCATGATGCTCTGTACCTCCAGCAATCACACAGGCCTTTCTCATACCTCCAGGCCGATACACACACTGGTCCCTCTGTCTGGAGAGCCCTTCTTGCGGTCCCCGCCAGGACAACCTCTCGGAGTCCTTTAGGAGGAGCTCCACCACGGTCTCCTCTGGGAAGCCTTCTCTGACAGCCCCCGCCCTGGCCCCAAGGTAGGTCTGGCACCACTCCTCTGGGTCTCTGCACTTCCTGGGCCACTTCCAGAGCAAGACCTATCACCCCGGCGTGTGGCTGGCTGTCCCCTTCTCTCTCGCCACCCCTGCAGACCAAGAAAGGGGAGGCTGTCTTTTCGATCTCAATATATCGGTGCCTGGCATATAGTAAGTGCTCAATAAACCTGCAAGGAATAAATTCTTTCTTACTCCCCTTCACTCCATTTTGGGGTTCAACCACCGGAATAACCTTCAAACCACTAGATCAGATCATGGGACTCCTCTCAGATTCAAAGCGGCTTCCTGCTGCACAAAGAACCAACCAGAAGCCCCACCGGTGGGTTGCCCACTGCTGGGGCCCCCGCTCCTCCAACAGACCCAGCGGATGCGTCCCCGGGGCTCCTATGCTCGCTGCTGTGTGACCTGTAGTACATTCTCTGGATCCTTCCATGCCCGGTGCCTTCTCTACCTTCGGGTCTTAGCTCAAGTCGTGCCTCCGCAGAGACCTTCCCTGATGACCCCATTTACAGAGGCCCCGGACCCCCAGCCTCCCTCCATCACAAACCTCATCTGACCTCCCTCAGAGCATTTCCACCCGAGCCTGTCTTCTTGGTTTCTTATGTCTCTCTCAGCCAGGACACAGTTCTGTGAGAGTGAGGACCTCGTGTCTTTTTGGCATCTCAGTATCTGTACTGCGTGGAACGAACCTCCACACAAGCATGTCCAAGTCCCCACTCCCCGTGAACAGGACCTGGTGGGAAAGGGTCTTCACAGTGGTTATTAAGCATCTCGAGATGGGATCGTCCCGGATTTAGGGAGCCCTGAACGGAGTAACAGGTGGCCTTGCAGAGAAAGGCAGGGAGAGACGGGGAACGCAGAGAGGCCGAGAGGGGAGGGTCAGGTGGAGATGGAGGTAGAGCCTGGCGTGATGGGTCTGTTGTATTAAGGCACCCAGTTTGTGGCAATCCGCCAAGGCAGACACGGGAAGCGAATACAGAACGTTCTGCTCTGATTTACACGTCGCGGACCCTCCATAAATGGTGGTTGCACGAACGAATGAATGCCACCACCCCGAGTCCTGCTAGGCGCCTGGCAGGGCCCTCACTCCCCCCGCCCCCCGGCAGCCACGCCCCGCTCAGCCCCAGCCCCGGCCCCGGCCCCAGCTCTCACCAGCCACCACCTGTATGTGTCCTTCTCCAAGAACGCGTTCTGCATGGTCAGCAGTGGCTGCATGGACCGGTTGAACCTCTCGTCGAACCAGGCCGACACCCTCTGCTGGCTGATGCAGCGGGCGCAGGTGCAAGGCCTGTGCGTGTATTTAATGAACTTTTTGAAGTTCTCCGAGAGCTCGACGACCATCTGCCTGGGAAACCAGGTGGTGGTCACCATGGTGTGGGAGTAGTTCAGGAAGAAGGAGGTGAGGAAGATGAAGAGCACAAGGAGGGTGAGCACTTTCAGAGTCCGCTTTCGCATGGTCACCATTTCTGCCGTCCGGATGGGCACCTTCCGGGGCTGGCTGGGCTGGAGGAAGTCACGCCTGGGCCAGAGGGGATTTGGGAGAAAAATCCCAGAGACGGAGGCGCGGTCACAAGGCGAGGCAGGGATTCCCAGGGGGGCTTCCAGGCCTGCTAGGGCCGACTTCACTCCCGCCGGGCGACGGCCACGCCTGTGTGCGGGGCATCACCCCGTGACAGTCGGAGGCTAAGAGGACCCCTCTGGGGGTGTTGGCCCTTCTTGCATATAATTTGTCTTTTCAGGAAATAAGTAGGCTGCTTTGTCAGCAGTCCTGAAACAGCCAACGATGTCTCTTGAAGCCTGAATCAAACTTAATAAAATGACTTCCTTTCCCATCCAAAGGGGTTGAGGGGTAATTAATCTCGGTGACAGTGCAGGGACTCTCGGGGGTGGGGACCTCGGAAGAAGGGTCACAGTGTGGGACAGAGGCACGATGTCTTTGCCACTGTCCTCCGGAAAGGGTGATGGGTGACGATGCTTAATTAGAACCGGGTCTTTCCCATGCTGTCTCCAGAGATGTGGCCGTTAAGCAGCATGCCGGGTGGAGGCACTGAGGCTTGCCTGTTATCTGCACAGAAAAGGAGGAAGAAAACAGGATGAAATTCTACTACCTTGTTATAAAACAATCCTTCTCTCTCCCCACCTCCTCCAGGATAAACTCTGTGATTTTCTGCTCTGGCGTCAAGCCGACGGGGTGGGTGGCTCTGGACCATTTATCTACCCTCTTGAGCCTTGGTGTGTGCATGTGTATGATGGGATGTTAACGCCCATTCTGCAAGGTCTGCTAAGGGACACAGGGGTCACCCCGCCATCTTTCCTGCAACCAGAACCGGGTCCATTTAAGCATGCCACCAAAGTCTGTGAAACGAGTCAATGATGCACGTGCAGGGGAACGCATACAGATTGCTGAGTACCTGCCAAGTACATGCTACTTTCTCCGTCACTCTCTTTTGGATTCTGAATTTCAGTAAGAATTGTAGGCTCCTGCCCACCTCGGCATTCAAGCTCTGCCTGTTTGCCTCAGTCCTACAGAGTAGGCTTTAGCTGGCCCAGGTTCAAGTGCCGCTTTACCAGCTCTGTGGTCTTGGGAAGTTAGTCAGTCTGCCTGGCCCTCAGCCTCCTCTTCTGTAAAGTGGGAAAACAATACCTCCACTTACCAATGGTTACAAAGATAAGATAAAATGCTATATAGGCTGAGCTGCTGGGATCTATTAGGCAACTGCTAAGCTTTTCCTTTTTTCAATGCCTGCATGAGTGAGTATTCTTGGATGATCCACTCAAAGCCGGACATGATGGGCCATGCGTGTACATCTACTTCCTCCAGCAGTCCTCAAAGTAGACTGCCAGCCAGATAGGGGGGTCCCCATTTTGTCCTCAGAAGAAACTGAGATTCAAGGAGATTAAATGACTTGCCCAAGGTCACAGGTAAAGGAGGAAGCAAAACCTGAATCCAAATCCACAGGCCTCTGATTCCATGCGCGTGGAGGGGCGGCGGCACCAGGAACTGGGGGCAGAGGGTCTGCTCTGGGAGCAACACCCTACCTCTCAACTGGTCTTCAGTGGGAAGAACAGAGAGAAAGGGGGAGTGTATTTCCATCAAAGAGAGCACCTCCTCAGATGTCCATAACACGAGCCCCCAGACTGCACTGCCTTTGTGCTGGTCACATCTCTTCACTTGAGCATGATGCCTTTGATCTTTTCTTAGAATGTGTCCCCTGTCCCCGAGCCAGTCTCTGTCTGGTCAATTCGTCCCCACCCTTAATATGTAGATGTCAACGAGCAGGATGCATTTTTTCTAGGAAAGTGATAGTTGAAGGGTTATTGATTACTTTTTGGTAGAAAAAGAGGGGGGGTGCTCAAGAATCAGGTTAAATCCATAGTGCTTCCTGGAGACATCCAAGGTCCAAATGTGCATCTACTCCCTCCACTCTTCAGCTCAGTTGGCAAGGGCATTTTGGTTCACCCACTTCTCCATTTCTCATTGTCCAAAACAACCTGACTCATATTTATAACCTAATGGTGTCCAGGGTCATCCCTTCCAGCCACCCCCTGCTCCTCCGGCAAGAAGCAGCTCTGTCACTGGAGTGAGATTAACCTGCTTATTTTCAAGGGTGGGCTCTGATTTAACTTGGCTGGCGGAGATTCTTAGTCTTCTTGGTCCTGGGATGGGTCTGTGCTAATTCATGGAATCACACTGAAACCCCTACTTGTAGGGAGGGAACAAACTTTATTTTGTTCTGGCTATTTGATTTTTGCATATAAAAGTCAGGCTCGTGCTGCCCATTTTTAAATTTTTTTACTATGTAATTTTTTTTACTTAAATTCAATTAGCCAACATATAATATGTGCTGGCCATTTTAATAGCTCATGTGGAAGAGGTAACAGCTGAACAGGGCCGAGACAAGTGGTGCTGACTCCCTGATCTAGCCATACCTGTAGTCCACCCTACACCTCAAATTTTTAATGACATGAGATAATAAATCCCCTTTATTGCATAAAGCAGATTACTTACATAAAACTTGAAGCAGTGTGACTGACCCACAGGTCACAGCTGCTCCTGCCTAGGCTGACCCCCACTGTGCAGAAAGTCCATCCCATCCTGCTTGGTTCTTACTCATTCTTCAGGAATCAGCTGGTGCTGACTCCTGGAGGAAGGCCTGACCTCTCCTGGCAGGAGCAGGGTCCCCTCTTGGCTTCCACAGCGCCGTGGCTCCCCTCCCCCAGCACTGTTTACTTATCTGCCTCTTCCCTGGGTTGGGAGCCCCATGAGGACAGGAGCTCGGTCTCACTCATTGTTGGGCACCTGTCACCTGGCATGAAGGAATGCAGAAGCAAATGAAGGGAAAGGCAAGGGCCAACAATTCAGAGGAGAGATGTGAGCAGAAAAGCACAGACCAACAGTCAGAAGACTCTGATTCCCAGGCTGTACCACCCATTTGTTGTGTGACTGTGAACAATTTACCTGCCCTCTCTGAACCATTTCTTCAACTGGAAAATGAGAGTAACACTGATTCTGTCCACTTTTCTGGGCTGTCAACTGGGCAAAGTCTGTCTAGTCGTCTGATTTACTCACTACCTATTTTCTAGGGGCCTGTGATGGGCCAGGCTCTGGGTGATTGGGTGATTGGGACATATCATGAAAGATTCTAAGGTGGAAGCTTTGTAGGCATCTGCAAGACCCTGGTGCCTTCAGGAGAAAGGAGGCTGGTACCCCTGGATCGATGGAAAGGAGAGGAAAGGAGAAGAGTGGGCATGTGTGGGGTGGGGTGGACAGCATGGGGCTGTGGAAGCCATTAAGCAAGACTAAGTTTGCTCTGAGTGACGTGGGACCCACCGAAGGGTCTGAGCAGAAGGGCAACACGGTCTCACTGCATCTGTCTCGGTAATGAGCACAGCCCAAGGCGCTCTCGCTGACTCTGCATCCTGATGCCAAGGTCCGAGACAAGGTCACTCAAATAAATGACTGTTGAACCACACGGACCAAATACAATTCTGAACGAGGGGTCAGGTTCCCAACAATGTCCTGGCTCTGCAAGGGAGGTATTCATGGTCTAAGTTGATGCTGGGGTGGGGTGAGATTGGGGACAGAGGACAAGGCTGGGCTGCAGAGGCAGGAGTACCGTGACACCCCCCTCCCGTCCACTCAGCACATGGTGGGAGCCATATCTCTGAGGCCAGAGTGCGTGCTCGGGTCCTACGGACCTGCAGAGGTTTCTGAGCTGCTATTAATTAGTGCTTTTCAAAGTCTTTTGAAATAAGCTGCAGTGGAAAAGCAAGAACACCCTTCCACCCCCTTCCCTGGCCCCAGGGAAGCAACGAGGAATGCGTGACTTCCCCGCACTCCAGTAAGTGAGGCAGCCTGCAACACCTGGGGGAATGCCAGCCCTGGCTCCCTGAAACAGAACCCAGACCAAGATGCCAAGTGTGCGGCGAGGGAGGCCAGCCCCGCCTCCCCAAAACAAAGTGGGGGGAAGACACGGCTCCCTGTCTCGCCGGCAGAGTGGCTAACGTCTCGCAGCCACATAGTGAAGGACAAGCATATCTTATTTGTCCTGCTCTGCAGATACTGTGCTTTTTACAGACGGAAGGTTTGTGGCAAGCCTGCCAGTGTCATGCAAATCTACCCGTGGCATTTTTCCAACAGCATTTGCCCACTTCACGTCTCTGTGTGACATTCTGGTAATTCTCGCAGTATTTCCAACTTTTTCATTACTGTATTTGTTGAGATGATCTGTGATCGGTGATGACAACAGGCTGGAAGCTCGGAGGACACCACTTTTCGGCAATAAAGGATTTTCAAATTAAGGTCTCTATCTTGATTTTTAAAGATAAAACGCTATTGCACATTTAATAGACTCCTATAGTATAAACGCAACTTCTTTTTTTTTAAGATTTTTTATTTATTTATTTGACAGAATGATACAGAGAGAGCACAAGGAGGCAGAGCGGCAGGCAGAGGGAGAGAGAGAAGCAGGTTCCCCGCGGAGCAGGGAGCCGGACAGGCTCCATCCCAGGACCGTGGGATCGTGACCTGAACCGAAGGCAGACGCTTAACCGACTGAGCCACCCAGGCGCCCCCAACGCAACTTCTGAATGCAGTGGGAAACCGGAAAATTCATTTGACTCACTTCGCTACAATATCCACTTTATTGCGGTGGTCTGGAACTGAACCCACGATTATCTCCAAGGTCCGCCCTGTCCTGGAGAAGGCACGAAGAATGCGTATGTGACAGTCTAACGGGGTCACCGGCACAATGTTGAACACACATTAGCACCCTTTCAAGGGTCCAGAAAGTCAAGATTTCTCAAAAGAGGGTCCCTAACAAAGATAAACCCACCCGGCAACAGGAAGACGTTGGCAATGACCAGCCACTGACAAATGAGCTGTTTCAAATGCTTGGAAAACTAGGTGAATGAACAGCATGGGTTTCTGAATGTTTAGTTCACACCCGCTCAAGTGCACAATTCTCCCCAGGCTGGGATGCCCTCCTAGCCCTCTGCAGAGTCCCCTGCACGAGGGCTGCTGGTAACATCAGCACGTCTAATAAGGAGGTGCTGCAACTGTCTTCCGTGTGATCCTCACTCACATCAACTGGGCAAAATGGATAATCATGCTTATTTCCCTGACATACGAAACTGAAGCCCAGAGAAGACAAGTGACTCGACTAACGTCACACAGTGAGACAGCGGCAGAGCCAGCACTCTGACCCAGGCTTCTGCCTCCTCCCGGATCTTTCTACGTAGCCATAGCTGACCCTCTAATTCATTAATACCTGCTCTCATCTTCATTATCTCCTTTCCTGTCACTCCTTTAGGCTTGAAATCTGTCATCTTTCCGATTTCTTGAGACGGATACTACATTGTTCACATCCTCTTCTGCTGTGTGAATTAGGGTATTATGTTCATTTCGGTTATTGTCTTTCTCAGTTCTAGAATTTCCATCTGAGCAAAATTTTTATAAGCTCTAGTTCTTTTCAGGTGAAATTCCCCACCTTGTCCATCTTCCTGCAATTATGCATCACAGTTACTTTAAAGACTATGTCTGCACCTTGTGACATCTGGATAACA